CTCTTGTTCTCTACTGGTTCCTTCCCATCTGCCCCAAAATTCTCCCCAATCCCAAAAGAGATAAAACAAATGGACAAAAAGCCTTTATTTTCATGGCCTATTCATCTATCTTTGATCTCTTTTCTCCCATTCACGGGTAAAATTTTTGAAAAAAAAAGTTTACACCAAATAGCTATCATTTCCCCAGCATCTACCCTTCTGTCCCCACTCCCTGACTAAAACTGCTCTTTCAAAGAATACTGCAGAGTAAAGAGGAACTGAGCTCAAATTTCAGCTTTGCTCCATACTCATTTGGACAAATCACTTAATTTTCAGGGGGATAGAGAAAGATCTCCATGAGATGATATTTAAGGTCTCTTTGAACTCTAAATCTTAGGATTTAAAGTCACAAATGACCTTTTAATTGTCAAATCCAATGATTTTTTTTTCAGTCCTCATTTTCTGTGACTTCTTGAAATCATTTCTAGTTATTATCTGCTGCCTTGACTTCACAGATAACACACTCTCCTGATTATCCTTTGTGAGAACCTTAGTAGCCCCACTATGTGAAAGAGCCCTGGGGATGCTCAAATTCCCCAGAGTCACTGTGCCAACAAAAGCCTGAAGTAATGGCTAAAAGCCCCTTTTCCTGAAGGGGGGGAGATTAAATATCAACTAGCCATTAACCCCCAAGCATTCTCCCCAGCATGAATCAGCTCCAGTCCTTGAACCTTGGCCTGCACACCAGCTTCAAGCTTCCTGCTTTAATCCTCCTTTAATCAGTTTCCTCTATACTGTCTTTTTCATCCATCACTCCTTAATCCCACTACCAGCCTGAACTACTGTAATAACAACTCTCTAAGAGGTTGCTTTCATGGCTCTAATTCATTGTCATATTTATAGAGAGCTTTAAGTTTCACAAAGTGCTTTGTCTATATTATCTCATTTTCTTGTTATCATTAATTTGCACAATTATCAGATGATTCTGCCTTCTATATAGATATGGTTGTGTTACCTTTCTGTTTAAAACCCTGAAATGGCTTCCTACTGTACCTAGAGTTGATCTCAAACTCCTTAGCCTGGTCAGTTCAAGGACTTCTGTTGTGTGAAGTCACTTAATTTTTCCAGATTTATCTCAAATCATTCCCTTTCATTTACTCTATGCACCAGTACATGGGTAGATGGTGGGGAAATAGAGGCCATTACATATAAACATTTTTTTAAGTTTACCTCTGACTGGGAGAAAAGAAATCAAAGACAAGTAATGCAGACTGATTTCTTTCCCATTACATGTTCCATTCCTAGATCTCTCAGCCCAGATGGGACTAGGCCTCTACTTTCCAGAAATATCCTCACCATCATCTCTCCAGCCCTGCCCCCTCCATGGTAGGTCCATCCCCCCGATTTCCAGCTCCCTTCTATGTGTTGTCTTCCCTCATTAGAAGTAAAGTCAGGTAGTCGGGGGCAGCTAAGTGGTGCATGTGTGTGTGTGTGTGTGTATGTGTGTGTGTTGGATTTAGGAGGACCTGAGTTCAAATCTGGCCTGAGATACTTGACACTTACTAGCTATGTGACCCTGAGCAAGTCACTTAACCCCGATTGCTCACAAAAAAGAAAGAAAGAAAAAAGAAAACAAAAGAAAAGAAGTAAGATGGTCTTGCTTGTGTTTATTTGTATGTCCTATGCTTAACAGAGTAGCTGGCTTACAGTAAGAGATTACTAAATGTTCTTGTTTTCTCTCTGTCTCTCTCTCCCCTCCCCTGCCTCACCTCTTCTTATTTTCTTCCTCCCTCCTTCCCTTCCTTCCTTCTTTCCTTCCTCCCTCCTTCCTTTCTTTCTTTACTCCCTCCCTTCCTTCTTCCTTCCTTTCCTTCTTTCCTCCCTCCCTTCCTTCCTCCCTCCTTCCTTTCCTTCTTCCCTCCCTCCCTTCCTCCTTCCTTTCTTCACTTTCCTCCCTCCCTCCTTTTCTCCCTTCTTTCCTCCCTCCCTTCCTCCCTTCCTTCTTTCTTCCCTCCCTCCCTTCCTCCCTTCCTTCATTTTTTCTCTTCTCTGAGCCTTTGCTCATGTTGCTCTCTGTTTGAAATGCTTTCTTCCATCTCTTTAATTCCTACTTATCCTTTAAAGCTCAATTTAAGGCTCACCTCCATGAATATTCCCTTTATTTCTCTAATTAATAGCAGCATCTTAGTTCCCAGACCTCAGTATCACTTCGCACTTCTCACACATTTATTATGTATGTATTAGGGTAATATGAGCACATATATGTTTATGTAGCTATGATAGCACCTTCAATTTTTCCCCTAGTATGCCCTCCTCTTTCCACCTCTTGCTCTGAGAATTGTGATCAAATGAACAATACCATCACCTCTGGAATGGACATAATGACAGATTGTTTTATTATCCCACTCAATATCTTTGTGACTTTCCAGACAGTAACTCCCTTTCCTGGCCACCACTTTCCACATATATTGTCTCCCCTAGTCAAAATGGGGGAGCTTCTTGAGGGCAGAGACTCTTACTTTTATATTTGTATCCTCAGAGTTTAACACAGTGAATAGCACAAAGTAAATGCTTAATAAATACTTTTCATTACTCCATTTGTTCATGTAATACAACTATATTGATCTGCTAGACAATATAAGATTCATGATAGCAAGAACCTAATTTTATATAAACTTTATATATCTCCAAATCCTTTGAACCGTGCACAACACAGAATAAGTGCTTAATACATGTTTGTTAAATTGAATTGGTTGGTTTTTTAACTTGAAAAATGAGATAAATCTTTTTCTTTTTTTACAAAAATTTAGGATAAAATGTTCAGGAGGAAAAAAGAATGTAATGTCCATTATCCATAACAGCCTGAAGTCTGATGGTGATTCCTTAGAATGGTTTTGACTTTTGAAAATGAAAAGGTTCTTCATTTCTGGTCTATAATATGGGAAAGACCCACACTGGTTTGTTGTTGTTGTTGTTGTTGTTGTTTTAATACTTTCAGATGGTTGGATAGGTATTAGATACTTCACTCTTTTATTTGTCAAGGTGAAACATGCAAGTAATTTGGTGATCTAGTCATGTCAGAAGAGCATTTCTGTGCTAGTACAGGTCCAGGAACTCATAGGTGATGGGTGGTAAGAGGAAGAGGGGAGTTGTATCAGATCATGGAAATTTCTCTCAAAAAGAAATATCCCAGGAAATAAAAAAGGTAAGCTCAATTTTGCCTGTTATTTCCATCCCTAACTTTAATTTCCTTTCCTTTTGTTAGGTCTAACACTGCCCTGGTACCACTAGAGTTTTGAAAGATGATAAAGAAAAATCTGAATCTCATCACGCAACACTTCTTAAGCATCAAACTGATAAGACTTCTAAAGCTAACACTGACAAAGTACAGCAATATTGGCATTGCCTAACCTCCTGTCCCCCTTAAAACAAATGAAAAAAATTAAGTTTGCTTTTTATTGCTATTTCTTATGCACGAAAGATGAGATAGAGCGCCAACATGAGAACAGCTTTTTCTTTATCGCTGTAGTTTTTTTCTTTAAGTATTTTTTCTTCAATGTCAAATACCTCTCCCCTTATGAATATGGAAATGAGCCTTAGAACTTAAGGGAGACAGCCAATTTAATTTTATAAACAAAATCAGCCTTCCCTATTTTCTTTCCTCCTCGCAAAAATCAGTGACCAATACGTTCACCTTTCTCTAGACTCTGTCTTGTAGTCACTAAGTAGAAGTCTTGGCTCTCTGCCTCTGTTTATGTCATTACCTGCCTCAGAGCTATTTTTATCTTTTATTTTTCTTTGTGCTTCCCAGGTACTGGTTAGTAGGACAGATTCTCCCTCTCTGTATGAGATGGGAATAACAGATGACAGTTTGGCAACATAGTCTGGCATAGGAACTGCGTCTGATTCCTCTTCCTTATATGAACCTGGGATTTCTGTCTCTTTGTAGTCTACATGTTGAAGAAGACAATCTTGACATCAAATAGCATTTACCATATAAAATCTTTAGTTCAAAGATCTACGTCTACAAAGGTATATGTATATAGATGTGTAAGCCTGAAATTATTATTTCATCTGTGTAGGAATCCCTTAAGACATAAAATTCCTTCCACTAAAGCATACCTGCCACCAACCCATAGTTTTAGAGAGCTGCCTAGGGCATTGAGAAGTTCAATGAGTTGCCCATTGAGCTCACACAACCAATATGTGTCAGAGGAAGGATCTGAACTCAGCGCTTTCTGACTGTAAGATTTGTACTCTGGGAGATGGCCTCTTCATAATAAATGTTAGACTTTGCAACTTAAGACTAATTTCTATTTTAATTCCTGTGAAATATTGCATAATGTCAGGCAAGTGTATTAAAATGTCCAGTAAAAAACTGGGCATGTCAAAGACTTTCGCAGGTAGGAAAAATATAATGCTACAAAGTTTGTATGTACCCTTTCCCTATTTGGCAATGAGAAATTCAGGGTAAGATAGAGATAAGAATTAGATGTGTTATGTCACTGGCATAGGGAACCCACTGATGAAGAGGCTTTCTCAATCAATTCAAGTTAACATTTTCTCTCTCAATTATAGTTTCAGAGAGTTGCCTAGAGCAGTGGTGCCAAACTGAAATAGAGATGGGGGCCACCAACACTCTATACAAGGATCCCTGTGGGTTGCACATTGACATAGAAAACAATATATTAGTATTACCTATGATCTATCATATTTTTATTTTGTTAAATATTTCCAAATTGTGTTTTAATCTAGTTCTATATCACTTGGGAATGTTGCAGTCTTCTGGGCTAGAGGGACAAAGATTAAACAACTTGCCCAGGGTCATGTAGCCAACAGATCTCCCAAGTGAGACTTGAACCTAGCCCTTCTGACTCTGAGGCCAGCTCTATCACTATGCCACTGCTAAAGGCAGTAATAATAAAATTCAGAATATGTTTCTAAAAAGCCCCATACTTACTCATGAGAAATTCAGAGAAATGAGAAACTCAGAGTACATTTCTTAAAAGCTCCATACTTACTCATTTCTGCAAATAGCTGTCTTCTTTCTGCCATGTTATTTCCTCTTTTCCCACTATCTTCAATCATTCTATGGAACAAAATGATTACAAGGTATTATTATCCTCAAGCTACTGAGGAATTAATTTTATTTGGAAATAAATTCTTAAGCCGTATTTACTACATAAACACAGAAAAGACATTTTTAAATAAAACTGCATTAAATCAGTATAACCCCTACTTTTCATTAACTGGAGAAACTCCTGATGTAAGCCACTACCTACATATTTTCCACATATGATTTTGTTATGATGTTTGGAATCAAGTCAATAAGCATTTATTAAGCACTTTTCATGTACCAGGTATAGTGCTAAGTGGGCAGCTTGGTAGTGTGTATGACGGACAGAGCACCAGGCCTGAAGTCAGGAAGACTCATCTGAGTTCAAATCTGGCCTCAGACACTTATTAGCTGTGTGACCCTGGGCAAGTCACCCTATTTTCCTCAGCTCCTCATCTGTAAAGACTTGGAGAAGAAAATGACAAACCACTCCAGTATCGTTGCCAAGAAAACCCCACATTGGGTCACAGAGTTGGACACAATTGCAAGGACTGAACAACAACAGTGCTAAGTGCTGGGGATACAAAGAAGGTCAAGGAAAAAAAAGAAAAAGAAAAAAAGAAAACCCCCCTCCAGTCCCCACTCTTAAGGAGCTCACAGTCTGACTAGGGGTGGGTAGAAGGGGAGGGACAAGCTACAAATGGCTACATACAAACAAGATATATACAGGATATATTGGAGATAACCAATAGAGGAAAGCTGGTAACATTAACGGGGATCAGAAAAAGGCTCCTTGTAGAAGGAGTCTCTAAATATAACACAATGGAGTGTGCTACATCTGGAAAGAGAGGAGGACCCAACTACCTGTGTGATCTCAGACAAGTTGCTTCACTTTTCTGGTTCTCATTTTCTTCATCTGTAAAATAATGGGACTGGACCATATGAACTCTAAGGTCCTTCTTAATTATGAATCTATGATCAAATGGTCCTGTGTTTCACTACATAAAGTTAAATCACGAGTAGTCAAATATTAGCCATCCGCAACAGTAGCCAAACACGGAGGAAAGGGGCAGTTAGGATAGCTTGTGGTATATGCAATTCCCTTAAAAACAAGAAAAGAAATATTGGGTTATTTCCTTGCACCCATCACCAGGGCTGAAGTTGCTGTCTGAAACTCCAATCTACTTCCTGGCTTCCCTGACTTCCTTCCAATCTCAGCCAAAGTCTCACCTTTGCAAGAAGCCTTTCTTAGTCTTCCTTAATCATAACATCTCTCCATTGGGCTTGTCCTCTCTAGATATCTTTTTTGTGCAATGTTGTTTGCCCACTGTCTCACTCCACAGACTGTGAGCTCTTTGAAGGAAGAGAATGTATTTTTATCTTTCTCCTGTGCTTAACACAGTGCTTGGCACATTGTTGTTGAGTCATTCAAGTCATGACCGACTCTTCATGACCCATTTTGGGGTGTACCTATTTAAAAATGCTTGTTCATTGACTGACTGATGGAGCTGGGGAAGGTTATGAAGAGGTCTTGAGGAGGACGGTGAGGGGAGAACTGGCCATTCGTGTCTACAACTTGCGGAGTTCTTATATAGTATTAGAAAAGGAACCTAGCAATGAATGGGGCCTCTTAATGAAACTTATATTTGACAGCAAATTTGACAGGCTGAATATTGCCACAATCCAAAACAAAGATTATTGTTCTTGGAGAAGACTTAAGAAATACTGGTATATTTCGCTTGAGGTAATGTACATAAAGCATTTTGCAAGAATTAACATATTTCTACAAAATAAATGTCATCTATGATAATGATGATCTTAAAATGAATCTTCTCTCTGGCTAAATTAACCCAAATTCCTGTTTCCAATAAATATACAAAAGATTGATACAGTTACTGAAATATCTCCTCTAACGTTCACAAATAGTTTTGAAGAGTAGTCTTTAAATATTTTTGATTGTGCATTCTATCACTAAAAGTATTTTTGAGCTTACACTCCTAATTGCACATATTTCCTTAGTTATAAATTTTATAATGTACTACTGTGCTAATAATTACATGACAAAACTTAGAGACAAAATAATATTTTACTCCAGAATCAATAGGGAGACACTAGAACTTATGGAATAAGAAAATGACATGGGCAGATTTTCATTTAGAAAAATCATTTTGGCAGCTGTATGGATGATGGATTGGAACAGAGAAAGACTTAAGGTAGAGAGACCACTCAGGAGCCTATTGAAATAGTACTAGGAGAAGTGATGGGGGTCTGAACTAGGGTGGCAGCTCTGGTAGTAGAGAGAAGGGGAAAGCTTGAGAGACAGGGAGGCAAAAATGACAAGATTTAGCAAGTAATTGGATATGTGGAAGAAAGGAGAGTGAAGAGTCGAAGATGATACTGAGGTTATGATCCTTGTGGTCTGGAAAGATAATGGTACCCTCAAGAGTAACAGGGACATTTGGAATTCAGGTAGGTTTGGAGGGAAATATAATGCAATGTAATTTTTCAACCCATCAATGTCTTCTCATCCTGTGAAATTCATTCTATCCTTTCCAAAACAAAGAAGGGGAAGGAAGGGCTCTTACTCACTACTAACACGTCTTGGAGGATACGAGTAAGGATGCTGGGGAGATAGGCCAAGAATTTTTCCAATATTACCTGCACAGAGTAAAGTTATAACTTCCATGAGGATCTGGATCAAAATCTGAGAGGGGCGCAGTGGGACTGTGTTGGAAGACAATAGTCAGCATGATTTTTTTAAAAAAGATAAGCCCCAAGTATAGTGAAGAGGGCAAGATGTGACCCATCTTCCCATACTCTAAGTGGTTTATTACATACTCCCAGGGGTCAGGTTGTGACAGCTCCTACTTTGGTGACCGCTGATCCAGAAGATAGGTTCAGATTTCATCTTCCATTAATTTTCTATGTAACATTGAAAGAGTTATTTCTTAAGACCTCAATTTCCTCATTGGCAAATAAGGATAACTATGATAACTAGAAGACAACTATAGTCACTTCCGTGTCTAAAACTCTATAAATATATATGTATATATATATATATATACCTATATATATATATATATATATATATGTATACACACACACACATATACATACATATATATTAAGAATTATCTAATTGAAGACATTTGGGTGTACATGTTAGAGATGGAAAAGAGATAAGAAACTAGTAAAGAAGTGCTTTTCAAATCGTACTTGCTTAATGAATATTTGGCAAATGAATAAGTGTTCAAAGTAGTTAAGCAGGCAAGACAGATTCTTGATAATCTATTGGAAACAATAGAACAAGTGACATCTTCTTGTTTCCCAGTTGTTTTGTAAGGCCTTTAATGGTCTGCCTCCATAAGGGAAATCATCACACACACACACACACACACACACACACACACACACACACACACACACACACACATTCTAATAACAATCTAGGAAAGAACAATAAAGCAAATCTGAACACTGTATGATTACAATGACCGAACTTAGTCCTGAGAAATAAGAAAATTTATCTCCTTTCATCGGTTAGGTGGGGTACTAGGAGGATGGAATGTTACATATGTTTTGAAATTTTAGTTCTTAACATTTAACTGTTTTTTTCTTCCAAATTTTAAATCTTTCCTACAAGAGAAGTTTTTCAATACACGAAATTACAATTTCAAAAGAAACTCATATTGCAATAGTTATCAAAATATAATTTAAAAAAAGAACAATATCAAGTTCACAGACATAAAATTACAATTACAAAGGAAACTAATTGTATTGAAACATATTTATCAAAAGTAGAAGAGTCCCTGTGTCTAGAAGGAGCTTAAGGTCATCAGGCCAGAGAGCAGCCAATCTTCACAGAAATCCAGAGCAAATAAGCTTTCCCATGGGAAGAGCTCAGCTGTAAATTAGTGATGGCATTTAATGGGGAAAGGAAAAGCAGGAAAATGAATCTGTGGATGGTGACCTTTTAAATATAGCCTTGATCTATGAAAAGGCATCAAGGCTAAGTACACTTCATACAGTTCATGGAAAGTAGAGGAAGAAGTTTTTTTCTCTTCTCTTTTATGGCAGAGTGTGGCAATCCATGCATGCCAGCTTGGGTGGGGGGGGAGCTGCAGGCTTCAGTCAGAAGGATAACATTCTCCCCATTGCTAGGCCAGTGAGGCCTAGCATTAGTGTAATCTAACAAGATGTAGGAAATATGTATATGCATATGTATGTATCCATTCCCATTTTCTTTTTATGAATGTGTTAATTTTTAGGATTTTACACTAGAAAATTTATTCCTTGTCCAGAAAAGTAATTTGGGTAAATTTACATACCCCCATTTAATCAAAATTTCCTCAGAGGTGCTCATCTTAATTTTACTCTTCAATGTCTATTAACTACATCTCTTGTCTTTTAAGGAGATATGCACATTTGAGATATTTATTAGGAGAGGCAGTCTATGATACCTGCCTAGTAAAAATACAATAGCTAGCATTTAGGTTTACAAAGTGTTTTACAAATGTTATCTCATTTTATCCTCACAGCAATCCTGTGAAGTAGGTGCAATTATTATCTCCATTTTACAGATGAGGAAGCTGGAGCAAACAAAGAATAAGTGATTTGCCCAGGGTCACACAGCTAGTGGGTGTCTGATGCTGGATTTGAACTCAGTCCCCAATTAGCATACAGTAGACTGGTTTTAAAGAGAACTTGGAGCAGTACTATTTGCCTTCTTAGCCTCTGTATTTATTTACTGAGGTTTTTAACCTTTGTTTGTGCCATGGACATCTTGGGTCATTCTGATGAAGACAATTGATTCCTTCTTAGAATAATGTTTTTAAATGTACAAAATTATAATTATAAAGGAAACTAATTAGATTGCATAATTTTGCAATTAGAATACATTTTTTAAAAAGTTCGTAGACCCAAAGTTAGGAGTCCATGTGTCTAGAAAAAACCCTGGAAAGACCCTGGTTGAGAGGGTAGGTAGCCTTTGGTCAACTCTTTTTAGTGGATAGCAGGAACAAGAAAAAAGGAAG